CGCAATACGCTATCGCACTTTGCGTTTAGTGTTGGTATTCTGAGTAGATTCATGGGGAGACCGAAATGTGTCTCACTTGGTAGCAATCAAGAGGATCCTAAGATACGCCAAAGGTTCTATTGGTTGTGAAATTCTCTTTCCCGCAGTGGATATGGGCAAAAAATGAAATGTACTAAGTTTTACCAATTCCAATTGGTGCGGTGATAAAGATGATCGAAAGTCTACAGCTGGATATATCTTTATGCTCGGTGCAACACCAATATCATGGTGCTTGAAGAAGGAACCACTAGTTGCACTTTCATCTTGTGAGGTCGATCATATTGTCGATTCATTATGTGTGTGTCAAGCCGTGTGGCTTATGAATCTATTGGAGAAGCTGAGTAGTAGTGAGGGTGAGGCTGTCACACTCCTGATTGACAATGTTTTTGCGATTAATCTTGCTAAGAAACTAATTACACATGAGAGAAGCAAGCATATTGAAATGACGTTTCACTACTTGAGAGAGCTTGTTAGTGAAGGAATGTTACAATTGGGATATTTTAGAAGTGAGGATCGAGTTACTAATTTATTGACTAAGGGAGTCACAAATAATGTGTTCAAGAGGTTGAAGATGAACATGAACATGAAAGACTTGCAACACTTGAATTAAGGTGGTGTGTTGAAGCTTTTCAAGTAATTCAAGTGTTGTAATCGGTTAACACGAGGTGGTAAATGGTTGCAGCAAGACAATCAACACTTCCAAGTAGTAGAAATGGTCTTTTTCAAAGGCATAATCAATTAAACTACGACGTTAACCGATTACACTGAGTTGAATCTAATTCTTTATCAAGCATAACCGGTTAACCAAATAGTGTAACCAGTTATGAGCCCGTATTTTGTAATTTTTTATTATTTTAGTTGGCTGTTTTGACTCCCAATAATTACATTGTAACCTTTGTATAAATATATTGGATGCATTTTCATCTTAAGCTAATGAAATCATAATCTCTCTCTCTCTCTCTCTCTCTCTCTCTCTCTCTCTCAAGTTTATCCACCATTGTTCACCAACCTTATTGTTCATTGTTGCAACAATCCAAACGACAATATAACAACTCTTGCTCTTTTAACATTATACTCGAGTCCTACAGAGTTATCATGGAAGTTGAGGATGAGGATGAAAAAAATGACCAACCTAAACTTATAGCTGATGCAAAGATGGTTAAGGATAGTGAAGATATGGGACCTGATGTTAAAGGTTGATGTCACGAATGTCAATTTGTAACTTGTTATATTTGTTGTGCTTTGACTTCTTTGGGTGGTACATTATGCTTGGTACTTGTGACAACTTCTTCTTTCATTGTAATATACTTTTATTATTTCCTTCTTTCACGCTTTTTTGATTCCTTATATAATTTTCTCATCAAATCTTGCAACATAAATTTTGTAGTGTGTAGTTTGTTGAAACGTGAGATGTATGTGTGGCTTTGATTGTTTGTTGTTGGTCGATCATATTGCTCTTATTGTCACTTTATGATAATCCCAAAAAGAATATGTTGATAAGCAACAAACACTTGTGTTTTAATAAGAGTAATTAATATAATTAACAAAAAAGATGATCCTCGATTGATTTGATTATGACCAATTTAAAGAATTTTTTCTTCAGTGGTGGAATTTTTCATTGATTTCCAATGTTATAAAAAGTCTTCCTCCCATAGATCGTGTTGATGGAGGTTCTGCCTCAACTTTTACTCTCGCGTGCTTCAAAGATCATTCGTACATTGTGGAGAATTTTAGTTTTTTTTTCTTCCCTTTATTCATATTGGATGAATCATGATTTTTGTAATAATTTAAGTATAAATATATTACAGAATCATATACGTTTGTGTCAATTTCCTACATTGTAATGCTATTTATACTTAAAGAAATGAATGAATCGGAAAGTAACTGTATATTTGATAGTTGATGATTTAATATTGAATTTGATCTTGGACTTATGTTGAATGCATTGTTTCGAGATAGTTCAATGAATAGAAGGATTGCCATTGCCATGTCAGGACAAATTTATGCTCATAAGGCACATGTTAAAATCACCCAAAATTTTTTATTAATAACTAGCGTTCAGACGGGCACTCGCGTACCCGTCTGTCCGTTTTTTAAATGTGCATGAATAAAAATATAAACAATATTTTTTGTTTAAATAATTTTTTTAAAAAAATACAATATGTGTAAGTTAATAATAAGAAGTTATGTGGAAGTTAATAATGAAAAGTTATTAAGTAAATAATATAATAAAGCAAGGGTAAAAATAGTAGAAAATAAGTCACACCAAAACAAAGTATTTCCTTTATATATAGTTATAGACTAGCGTCCAGACGGGCACTCGCGTATCCGTCTGTCCGCTTTTTAAATGCGCATGAATAAAAATATAAACAATATTTTTTGTTTAAATAATTTTTTTTAAAAATACAATATGTGTAAGTTAATAATAAGAAGTGATGTGGAAATTAATAATAAAATTTTTTTAAGTAAATAATGTAATAAATCAAGGATAAAAATGATAGAAAAATAAACCACACCAAAACAAAGTATTCCCTTTATATATAAGTTATAGAATAGTTATAAATAAAATAAAAAATATTAAATAAATTTACTGTACAAAAATATTATTATATCTCTTTTATTTATATATTTTTCTTACCGTGAAATGACTAGATTGGTGGCTTTTAAGATGAAAAATAATTTTCCGCCATAGGGCAATGTCATCATAATTATTAATTTATTTATAAAAAAATAGAATATGCCATGTAAATTTATTTATAAATCAATTATCATCATTTATTTCATCACATTATAATATAAATTTTAAATTAATTATAGAATATGAAAAACAGATGAATTTCTGTGGATCCATTAAACTCAATTTATTATTATTTATATTTGACGATTCAGACTAAATACCTAAAGATAATTTGGTAAACTTTTATTTAATAATAAATTTAATTGGTATGTAATAATAGTATAAAATTATTTTACACGATTAAACAATCACTTTCATACATTCTCTTATATCAGATTGTAAATTTTAAATTAACTGTATAATATATTTTTATTAAATAACAGTTATAATTATTTTATTGAGAATGCATGCCAATTAAACTGTTTGATAATTAGCTGTGAACCGCACATAACTTTTCTTTGTTCTGTCTTCGTTGTTTCTCTATTCATCGAATCTTCGCCTTCACGGTCACCATGGTTATTCCCAACTTTAAGGTTGCATAAGAACTGGATAAACTAATAACACAACTTCATTGTTTATGCTGACCACATACCTGCAATAATTGCATGATCCAATATGCGTTGCGAGTCTGAATACATAAATTCATTTTTTTTGGTTGTCGTCGTCTTCGATACCTATGAGAACTGTTTCATGAAGATACTGCACTTGATTCTGTCCAATTTAACGAAGAAATCCATAGATCCGACACCGGCACCAGCACGAAAAACTCGGGCATTTTAGTACACAATGACACCGCACTTGATTCCGTTCAATTTAAGGAAAAATCCATAGATTCTTCCTTTGGAACACTTGTGAAAGTGTCAATTTTGTTGAACATTTCAGCACTTGATGAACAGTTCTTAATTAAAAAAATAGTTTTGTGAATAGTTTCAATATCAGGATGAGGTTTTAGGATAAAAACATATTAACTTTCGCCAATCTCTTTATTAAAAATAATAATAATAAAAACTCTAACAACGTTTTTATTAAAAAAAATTAAAAAAGACAAAATATTAATTTTGGTCGTTTAAGGTTATCTTGAGATCTATTTTGGTCTCTTAAAGTTATCTTGAGATTTATTTTGGTCTTTTAATTTTTAAAATTTTAAATTTTTAAATTAATCTTTTAAGTGTTTAAATAGTGTCACGTTCTTCCTTTTTTATCCATTAAAACAAAATTCATTCAATACATCCATCAACAAATCCATCTAATTCATCCATCATATAAAAATTAAGTTAATTGATTGAATTAAATTTATCAATTTATATGTATGGATTGATTCAATCAATCCAGCATATTTTAAGGATCCAATGAATTCATTAGATTTATTTTTTTAAAATAATTAAAATTTGATTTTTTTCTTTAAAAAATAAATTTTTTATTAGAAAAAAACCATTTTTTTTTAAAAAAATCGAATTTAAAAAAAAAAAACAATTTTTTTCGAAAATTAAAATGTCAATTCTTTGGAAAATACAAAAAGTCAAATTTTTTCAAAAAAACTGATTTTTTTTTTCGAAAAAAAAGAGCCAATTTTTTTTTGAAAATTAAAAACTCAATTTTTTAAAAAACACAAAAAGTCGATTTTTCCCGAAAAAAATCGATTTTTTTTCTCAAAAATACAAAAAATCAATTTTTTCTCGAAAATACAAAAAAAAACGTTTATTTTTCAAAATAAAAAAAAAATTGGATGAATTTTATTCTTAACGGATGGGTTGAATTGAATAATTTTAAGAAAATTTTAGTGGATTGTTAAAGGACTAATGGATTGTTTTGATCCATCCATTAACAATTCAATCCATATCCATCTGGTCCATCCATTTTGCCACCCTTACTTTTTGTCTGTTCCGTTAGTCAAAGTCAATGGTATAGTGTACATGTGCGCACACGTGTAGCTGATGTGTATTTTTTTCTGTAACGTGGAATATGACTTTACAAGCTTAAAAAAGAAAAGGGAATGAAATGAGACATAGAAGTCTTCAAGCAAACCATAACACAACCATTATCGTATCTTCAAGGTGAATCAGCTGTGAGTTGAAACGAATACATTTGTTCAAGGTGAAATCGAAGATAACACTACTTATTAGAGGTATGTTCGAATTAATTTATGCGCTTCTACTTAGGGCATAGTTTATTAGGGTGAAATCGAAGGTGAATTCTTTAATTGTTTGAACTGATTTATTAGGGTTTATTGAAACTTTCTGAAATCCTTCTTTTTTCTGCACTTCTACTTAGAGCATGGTTTGAAATGGATGACTATTTGCACCTAAAAGTTCATCACAGCGGTGAATTTGTTAATGAAGATTTTAGTGTGTACGAAGGGGGTGGGGTGGCTGATTTGAAAATAGATATTGATAGGTGGAGTTATTTTGAGTTGTTAGATTGTTTTAAGGATTTAGGTTATAATGTCATAGAGAAGATATATTATAGAGATCCCACATTTGAGATGAATGTGTTGGTTGATGACAAAGGTGTCTTAGAGATTGTTGGTCTCTATAGGATTCTCTTAGTGTTGACATTTATATTCAACACACATTGTCGCAGCCTGATTATTATAATGGTCCCTTTGTTGAGATAGTAGTAGGGAAAATGGCATTGTAGATGAGAGTGAAGAAGTGCTTGCTACAATGTATGAAGAAGCAGTTAATGTGGGGTTAAAGGAAACTGAGTTGAAGGATAGTGAGGCGAATGGGAAGAAAAATGTAAGGGAAACTGATGTTAGGGGAAATGATATAAGGAAAACTGATGTAAGGGAAAATGAGGCAATAGAAACTGATGCGAATGATGATAATGGACATGGGGGTGGTGAGGTTAATGATGATGTTAGTTCTGATGACACTGAGGATTGGAGCTTCAATTATTATAGTGAAATGAGGTTAGCATTTGATGATGAATCTGATGAGTATGATGATGAATTGAATGAGGAAGAGACTAATCTAATTGAATATGTGAATGAAGATGGCGATCAAGAGGGAAACAACAAAAAAGGTAAAGAAAAGTGGGAAGAAAACAAAAAAGAGTTTAAAGGAAGTGATAATGAAAGTGGGGATTTAAAAAGTGGGTGTGATAGTGATGATAGCTGTGGAGTTAGAAGAAATAAGTACCCAATGTTCAAGTTACAAAAAGACATGTCCAATTACAAATGGGATGTGGGAATGTATTTTAATACCAAAGGTGATTTTAAGGAAGCAATAACCTTATATGCAGTCCAATCTGGCAGAAATGAGAAGTTCACTAAAAATAACAAGATAAGGGTGAGGGTTAGGTGTAAAGATGGATGTGAGTGAGAAGCTTATTGTGTTAAATTTTTTAATGAGGATTCTTGACAACTAAGGAAGGTAGCATACATTCATAGTAGCAGTAGAGAGTATAATGTGAAGATGATGAACTCTAAATAGTTGAGCAAGAGGATTCAAAATTCATTGAAAAATAATCCTAAATTGAAGCTTAAGGACATAATAGCTAGATTTGCAGCTAGATGCATGATTGATGGTTCTTTCCAAGTGGATTATACAAGGATTTATGACTATTGCCATGAATTATTAAGATCAAACCAGGGTTAATTGTAAAATTGAATGTTCAACGTGCACAGGAAGGTATTGATGATCAAAGATCCCATTTCAGAAGACTATACATATGATTTGCAGCTTGTAAGGAAAACTTCAAGTTATGCAGACATTTCATAGGCCTTGATGGATGCTTTTTGAAAGATCTTTGTGGATGTCAAATCCTGGAAGCCATAGGTAGAGATCCTAATAATTAAATGCTACCAATAACATTTGCAGTAGTGGAGAGTGAAAATAAGGATAGTTGAACATGGTTCTTAGAGCTGCTTATTTATGACCTTGGTGGAAGAGATAGATGCCTCACATACACTTTCATTTTTGATCAACAAAAGGTATGTTTTATGTATTCTTCAATATATTTTGATGTTCTAATTATGTGTTTTCAATTCTGACGAGCATATCTTTGAAGTGAGGCACCTTGAAAACCCAACAGACAAGTTTTCAATAAATTTGAAGGAACACCTTTGTTCATGCAAAAGATAGGAGTTGACATGCCTACCTTGTGTTCATGCACTTTCAGCTATGAAGAGTAGGAACCATAAGGTTGATAACTACATTCCAGATTATTACAGGAAATCAAGATATATAGAAGTGTACAAACATGTGATTTCTCCTGTTAATTGCTCAAATTTGTGGGTAAGAACAGAGTTTTATGATGTGCAACCACCTAAGTATATGAAAATGCCTGGAAGGCAAAAAAAAAGAGGAATCTAGAGCAAGGTGAGACTGATGGATCTGATATAAAAATGAGAATGATTGATTTCATTGTCAAGTGTAGTAGATATAAGAAACCAGATCACAACAAGCTTAATTGCAAGATGACACCAACTAGTCAACAAGCACTTACTCAAGCATCCCAACAAGCACCTGTTAATGCAACCCAACTAGCACATACTAATGCGTCCCAACAAACATCACAGCAAGCTACTCAAGTATCACAACAGTCATCTCATAGAAGGGCAAATAAGCAACCAGTTAATATGGCATCTCAAACAGCTAGTGAAGTATCCCAGCAGTCAACTCATGGAAGGGCCAAGAAGTTACCAATCAGAAAGCCAACTAGACCATTTTATACACCAGGACCTATAACTAGATAGAGTGCAACCAAGACTACTATTGAGCCAACAACAAGAGGGACAACACCAACTAAGAGATCCACATCAAACTGAAAAATTTAGTTTAACTTAGTTGTTGCCTATCATTTTGTCTTTTGTTCTCAATTTACAGTTGTTAGGTTAAGTTTGAACATGTGTTTTAGAACTGTAATGTCTTTTGAATCTATGCAATAATGCCTTTTGAACCTATGCATTATGATGTCTTTTGAACCTGTGCAGTTCCTTTTGAAAACGTAATGACTGAATATTAGTGGTTTACACCACATTAGTAATGACTTGAGTGATTTGTTTTATCTGTTTGAAGTATAAACTAATTGATACACAATTGTTGGTATACACAAATGTGCATGATATAAACCAACTGGTAAATTGTTAGTATACATAATGGAATGAAACACATTAATTGATAACAAACACATATTGATATTAACTGATAAAACACATATTGATTGCTACATAATGAACTGAATACAAACATTCAAACTGATACAATTGTTACAACATTCTAAGTACCATTACAACTAAAACAATACAAAACATGATCTTCCAAAAAAAATCTCATTTCACCATCGTCTTCATTTGAATTTGTAACTCCCTTAAATGTATTTTCAGTCCATCATTTGTTGCCCTTAAATACTTCACCTCCATTTTTAATGCATCAAGTTCATTTTTAAGCTTCTCCAACCTACTATTTTGCTTCTTCATAAACCAGTCTTTCTCATCTACCACATTCTCATTGAACCAATCAAAATATCCACCACCAGCTTGTGTTGCACCCTGTGTAATTCACAAATTGTCTATATCAGAACAACCAGAAAAGAAGAAAATATTAAAGTTTCTTTCTTACTTTATAATGACGATATCTCCAAAATTGTTTCGCAAAGTTCGTAGGCCCTGAGAAGAACAACCATGTCTCCACAATAACATATGGGTTTCCATCGCAAATTGGAATCCAAACTACCACAACTCATCAAATTGGATTCGTTAGACTAGTGCCAAGAGTTCATTGATGATGATAATTTTATTTTCCACAACCAATTTCAATGTTGACCTCTACAATTTGAAGAACCCTAAATTGATTTAAGGAAATCCTTGTAAGAGATGGAGGAAAAGATGTAGGAAGAGATGGAACGAAAAAGATGATATATAATATCCACATCAACTACCACGCAGACCAAAACAAACGTTTGTTTCGGTCAAATGGAAGAAAATGACCACTGTGACACTATTTGAACAATTAAAAAATTCTTTTAAATTTTTTAAAAATTAAAGGAGCAAAAGGGCCTTCGTAGTAAAGTTAAAATGGACTCCAAAGTAAATTTAAAGGATCAAAAAGTGTATTTTACCTAATAATAATAATAATAATAATAAAAACTCTAACAATCTAACAAATTAACAAACAGCTGGCAGTGATTATTGCACTGCCCATATGCCCATATGGTGGGAAAAAACTTCACTTTCCCCCACCTTACCCCATATAGATTGCTCAATTTATGAGATGGAATGCTCCATTGAAGTGAAGTTGAATGATATTTGACAAATAATCTTGAGACAATAAAAAGGCAAAATAGACAATTAATGTTTGAGTCAGAAGGTGTATATACAGGTATAAACATTGCATTAGAATTAACGTTTGATTGAATTTGACTTTCAATCAATCTCTAAAAAAAAAAAAAAATCCTTATTATGCTTTTTTATCTGGGTCCGATTATGAATTAGGATCTTAACCCTCCAATTATAAACCGATATTGACCTCAAGTTTGCTTTGAAAGTCTTTTTGAATTGGAAGAGGATTTGCATTTGCAAGTTCATTCAAGCTTGAATTTGTAAACTTCAAATGTTTCTTTTCCATCAATGCCAGGTTTGACCTGGTTCAATGCTTGACATTTTCAATTCAGCAGCTAAAGTAAAACTGTGATGCAGAAACAATGCCATCAAACCTTAACTATTTTACATGACAATATGAAGGTGAAACAAATTTCACCATGAAAATAAACAGGATCAATTACACAGGTTACAATCAAACATCAATGAAGAAATTTGGTCACAATTCTCCATTGTAAAGTATTGAAGAATCGACTCTGGGAAGATAGCCGCCCTTGAACAGCTGAGACCAAGGATACATTAGAGAGAGAGTGGTTGGTCAACATTATGGTCTGCCCATGATCCACTTCACATGGCCGTTCAAATTGTACAAGGTCAGTATCTGTTCAACACTTACAGCACACCACAAGACTGTAGACGAAACAGTCAGTTTACCCAAAGCCCATCTCTGACATTCAATTAAAATGTGATCTGTCACGCTAAAAATCACTGTACACTGCATTATCGGCATTTAGGAGGCTAATGCAACTTCTCCAAGCAGCAGAGCTCCATTAACATGGAACGAATGAGGAAATAAAAAAGACCGGGCTTCATTAAATTTAACATGGTCTATGTTGAAGTTTTTGGCAAGTTAGTGTCTTCTTGAACCGGGAGAAAATGAGGCAGCATACCGTCACCTATTAATCCTTTCCTCCCTCAAAACTTAAAGCCATTCCATAGTGAACCAACCACTCCCACTAGTGACCTCTAAATGTAATGCTAACTGATGAGCATCCACCGGGCAAGCTTTGGTCAAAATGAACAACCAAGTTATAACCAGTGACAAATTATCTCACAATATTCCATTCAAAACCCTCTGATAATAATCATACTGCCGTGTTCTCCAAGCATCAAGGCTACTGCTAATAAGAGAAAGCACCAAGGAGACACATTGCTGCCAAAAAATACAATACAATACCATCACAATCACATCCAAAACATTTTACAGTTAAGAAGACGCACAACAGTAATATTGGAACCTCTTCTGTTAAACTGAGATGGAATCGCTTTCGTAAGTTCTGTATCGTCCGTATACCACCTTTAAAGCATGGGAACCCTGAATCCTGATACAGACATAGCCATAAAAAGAAAAGATTCAGCAAAATCCAATAATATGTGTACAGTCAACAATCAAGACTTTGAAAAGATAAAATAAGTGAACCATGGGGTATTTTTGGCAGCTTGGGAGGGAGAGTTTGAAATAATGTAAATTGGGTTGTTATGGCAATACAATCTATGTAGTCAATTGCGGCCTGGAGTGGGGCTATCGTGGCGGAACAAAGAGGTGTGCAGCTGTCCGCAACAGAGAGACTGGTGGTGAAGCGAAATAGGTGCATGGCATTCCAAGGGGGGGTTTGCAGGTCACTGGACCCGAGTCGCGATCTGGAGCGGGTTTTGGACCACTTTCTCTTTTTGGCATGAAAAGCCAAAATTATCCTTAAAATTAAAATGTTTTAAGGTTAATTTGGGGGGGTTTCTTTTAATTTTGAGTGTCATTGTCTCCAAACTGCATAACCTTAGCAATTTTTTGTCTTCACTCTGCTGTGGGCCTCGTTCTGCAGTTCTTCACCAAAACATAAGCTCTCTTGTTCAAGCTTCATCATCTTCCCTCTGCAGTTCTTCATTTTTTATCTTTTCCTCCTTCAAGCTTCAGATTTGTTTCTCGTCCCTCGTTTATTTTCCTTTATTTTTTCCAGCTGTTTTTTACTCATTTCTTTTCCTTCTTTTTCTTGCCTCTATTTTTTCTCATTTTATTTCCTTCTTTTTTTCTACTGTTTTATGAATTTTATGGTTTGAGTTTTTTTTTTATTTTTATTTTTATTTTACATGAAATATATGTTCATAGTATTATTAATGTAATTTGTCCCAAAATATATCAAATATCGGTCATCTTGCAATATGCTATCCCGCTATCCCACTTTTTGGGGTCGGCCGCTCCACGCTGTTATCCGGAGATGGCTACTTAGAATACAATATTATATAAATATGGTAAACAGGGTAACATTAATCCTCGTATTCAATGTGATTCAGTGTGTGTTTCTGTGTATAAGTGAGCTCCATTGTTTAAGACATGGATACGCTCATAAGCTCTTTTTTCCACTTCTCAACAAAGATTATGTCACCTAGTTTCTCTTTGCACAAGGTGTGAACATACAATAGTCCGGAAGTATCATACAGCATAGTGAAGAAGCACAGCATGACCCATGTAAAAATAATAGGATATTTTCAGTCAGTAGACAGTTTGCAAGGTTGCTTGAAAAAAGAATAACCTAGGCTATCTGTCGTAATTTTCTACGAAACTTGAAGTACGGATCATGACAAGACAAAGAACACAGAAAGATTACGTGTCATATGAACATAGAACTACAGAAAGCTAACAATCATATTACCTGCAACATCTCAACAAGAAGAATAATACGCTCAGCATGCTTGCGGCAAGTGAGGAAGCCTTGAATGCATAAAACCTGGATAACATGGACAAAGCAACGGGACATATTTAGAGCTGAGAATAGCATATGTCATCTGCAATATCTTAAGGAAAGATCAGAAAGTTTTTATCAGCACCTTAAAATAATCAAAGAACTCGCTTGGCAGACCCTCGGCATCAGAATCCATGACCTAGCATAATCACAATATTGTGATTATATGGACACTTGAAACAGGGTGTGTAATAGAAAGTAAAAAAAAATCTGTTTTACCTCAAGCAGCTCGCGTGTTAATTTAAAAGGTGCACTTTCAAAATTAACCCCACCAGGTGAATTGGAAAGCATGAAGCCAAAATCAATATGAATGATATGACCCTCTTCGTCCAATAGGAGGTTCCCATTATGCCTATCCTTCACCTTGAGACGAGAAAGGAAGACGAGAAAGGAAAAGAATAGTGGGAAGGATGTGAGGCATTCAATAATAATAAACAGCACAATGTTATCATTCAAAAGGTCACTAAAGTAAAGCACCGGTTAATAAATTTACTCACCTGTAGAAAGTAGCACACCAGAGAATATCCAGCCATACTCTCAACAAAGTTCCTCTGAGACAAAGAAAGTATCCAAATTATGAAAGTAAAACAGAAATACAGAATATCCAAATAGGAAAGGGAGAGTGGCATAAAAAACAAAACATAACATATACTAGATCGAATGCCCAATTCAGAAGTCATTGCAAAATATAAGATGAAGAAGTTCAGTCTACAAATAGATCAACCCTGTCTGCATATCTCAATCACCTGGGCAAGTTTAAAACTTGGAGAATTTTCTTGATATTTAGCATCAAAGAATTCACGTAAACTTGAGATGTTGGGATATCTACTTTTGATCGAGTGTAGAGAAGCCTAGAAAGAAAAATATTTGTATTAACATGGGCAAAATCTTTTACATTTCAATATATTTGAAATGTGTGAACGCAGAATTACCGTATCTGGAATTGTTTCTATGAGAGCTGTATAAGAAGAAGTACACAAAACTTCATAGGGGCGCAGCCAAAGCGGTAGACCAGCTTCTTGGAAAATATCTAGCATAAAAAGAAATTCAAAACTCTATGATTTTAATCAACGTGTTTAGAAGCACAGAAACTTCTGCTTCATGGCCTATATGTGCATCAGAACATAATAAAAGGATATCCAAGTCTAAACCGAATCAATTAAGATCAACAACTCTGAGGTGCATTCAGTAAAACTTTTTTACTAGACCATTGCATTGCATTCATGCTTTGGTACATTTTTATACTTTAGTTTACGACGATTACATTGAAAACTGCAACCAAGTAGATTTACAAATCGATAATGGAACTTAAACTGAGACATTACACATGTATTTCTAGAGTTTTGGCATAATAAAAATGATTCAATCTTTCCGTTATCATAGTGGAGTGCCTATAGAACAAATTCATAGGATTGGAAATCACAAGAGCTCAAAAGTAGAGTAGATCCAGTACCACAGGCTTGTGAAAAATCATTTACCTAGCCCACATCAGTATTGAAGGCAAGTCCAGGAAGATGACTGTTTATCAAGAAAGGAAAATTGCCCATGTATGTATATACAGATGCAAACTATGCATGATCCATTGCAGATAGGAGGTTCACCTCAGGGCATTAGATTTTTTGAGGGGGGATAAAATCAAATGCCAGGGAAACCAACCATAGAGTTTTAAATTGGGAGAAACATTTTTGCAATAAAAGGAACATCAATGATAGTAAAATGGTTAATTCCTTCACATGAAGAAAGAAAAGAAGATTTTATACCATAGAAGTGAGAAATTAGTTGAACAGCCAGATGCTCCTGCCTGCAATCATCTCCACTCTTTACAATAACCTACGTAAAAAGAAGAAAATTACACCAACATGCTCAAAAGAGTTGTCATATTAAAGCACGTATTATGAAACAGAAACAACAAATAGCTAATATAAAACAAAAGCCAACCATTCTTTAGTTTCATATTAATAATCATAAAAAGGACATGGTAGTTGTAGCTTGTGCACAAGAATTCCTTGCTAGATACTGCTTAAATCCAATACGTGAATCCTTCATTGACATGTGCAATTTGGATATACTTACATAAAATCTCACTACAGAGTCAAAGTACTAACTCATTAATAGCTGTGTACAGACAACATTTATTAATCATAGCTCATTCCTTAGAGTCTTTAACCCTAAAACTTGTGATACAATTTACATAGAGAAAGTGAGAACAAAATTCAGATCGCTGTTTCATTGATATTGAAGTTTTTTCTGCAGTATAAATTTTCAAGCGTGATTGTAAGAAAACCATTTTGAAAATCCTTTGACTGTAATATTCTTCATTCTATGATTGGATGCACTGATCCTTCAGTAAGAGAATGAACTTTAACAGTACAGCATTCTCAAACCCAACTAAAAATTAAAAGCATGTTTATAAAGTCAACCTTGACTTCGAATCAAATTTATATTGTAACAAATGGCAAAAAAAAATTTATTAGATACTATAATCTCATTGATCAAGATATACTTGGATACATTTCTTTTTATCTATTATGCAAAAATAATACTACTTTTTAATGTATATATCGAGTTTGTATCTTAATGAATTTCCAAAGCATGTGTAACCAACTAACTACATATAAAGTCAATTCTTGTGATTAAATATAGGCTTACCGATCGCAAGTCCCAACTAGGTAACTTCCCGTATATGGAAGCCTTGCGTACCCTATCTTTCTTTGCCTCCCAAAGTTCACCAGACAAGGCATCACTGGCTTTGGGGGTAATTCCATTGGCCTGTTAGGAGGGCATCATGTCATAAACAACTCTACAAGCTAAAACTTAACTGCAATAATTATGTCTTACCCTCGGTTGTGCATCTGATGAGTCTTGGCCAGCACCTTTCAAAGGGAGTCCAAGAGGCGCTTCCCCTTTTGCTGCTGCAGCCTACCAAAGGTTCAAATGTTGGCAATAAGTAAAATGTTAATAAAACCAAGAAACAAAAAAAAATATACACAATTACAATGAGAGAAAAAATTAAGAGCGGAGTAGTTATTTAGTACAATAAGTTCATTCATTTAGCAGTGATTTTTTGTATTCTTATTGTAATTGTAACCATAATGAACAAAAGTAAATTTCAACGTAAGTTGACAAATGCCAAACAAAGACGTCAGAAATAAATATGCAAAATAAAATTTTCCCATGTATTTTGTGTTGAAGGCTTTTTTTCTGTGAAGAGTTATTCTTAATAACCTACACTAATAGCTAATATCACCATCCTATATTCATTTTATTGTATAACCTAATATTTTAAGTTCTTCATTATGCCATCACATTACATGATGCATGACCCAATATTTCTTCGTAAATCTTTCATTACCCAGTAATAAGATCGTCATAAAGCGAATTATATTCTAAATTGCTGGCATGCTTATAAAGCAAGAGTATAAAATTACAAATCTTATGGATGGGAAGATAATCTGTACCCGCGGGTATCCGGGGCACAGATAAAGTTACGCTCATAAAATATTGATTGTGCCAATAGGAAGACGTGAATGCACATACATCAAAACAGTGTACTTTATTCTGCAGCAACGAGTTGATAAACCAACACTACCAGACAGGTCTTCACAATTCATAAAAGCTTGACGATTACAACTTATCAGATGAGTTATATTTTTGCCTATAGACATGATATAATGGTGCCAGAGTTTTAATATTTCAGAGAATAAATAATTGGAAGTTGATAGTTTATAGTTGATAGCCTATAGCAAAAATACAATTTCAATTATATCATAGAAGAATAGTGGAGAGCCAGAGCTAATGCCTGGGTTTATTTTAGTGTGGAAATGAAGAGGAAAGAGCAAAAAAAATAAGTTATCATATATCCTATAGAAAAAATATTTTTTTAAGTCCTACTTTTCATTAAACACACACCAAATTATAGTGAAAAATGGAAAAAAAAACATTGTCAATATAGAATGGGTTTGTAACATTTTCCTATCTTTAGCGGAATCTAGAATAGTAGAAAACTATACTTAGTTGGTGCTTGTTTTAGAGTATAATTACCTCCTGCAAGAAAAACACATTTTCCTAGGTGCTTTTTCCAAAGCAATAAGATGTTGGTTTTCTCAAAATTCCATTTTGGAGTGAAAATCTTAAACAACCACTCGGTTAGTCTGCTGGCTTACTTAAAAGAAAAAATAGAATAAGACTATAAAAACAAGTGAGAATTGAGAATTGTTAAGCTGATCACTTGACTTATACTCGAAGAGAAGAAAAAACAAACAAATCTATAAACTCTAAGGAGCATGGCCCACATAGATAATCATTTATTAAAAAACCAATACTTATTGACCCAATGATTGGTGAAAATCCAAGACGTTTATTTCGTTCATCTTAGGTAGTGCAATGCTCAAGAGAGATATAAATAAGATATTACATTGCTCATCCATGCCATTAAGATTTGACTAAGTTTTATGTTAGCCGAGGCCTAACACAACCCTCTCCTTTTATTCGGGCTTGATATCGGTTATGTATACTACAAAGCACAACATTGGTAGGACTTTGGAAGAGATAGATAGATATATGACAATTAACTTGTTGAGGACACAGGGCTGACCTTTTTTACCAAGTCTGGCGGTAAATTAAGATTAAAAAAACTATCAGTTGAAGCTTACATTAAAGTAATGTGAATAGCACATCAATAGCAGTAAAAAGGCACTGAAAGACTCACCTTTACTTCTTCAATTGCCACTGTACTTGGAACACGGCGATGTTCCTTTTTCCGAGGCGGTGCTTGATCCTCAATATCTTCCAATCTAACCCCAGGATCAGCTGTCAACACTACTCGTACCCATTCCAGATCACTGTCATGCTCTACTCCTGCTGCTCCATGTGCACCCTCTCTATAAGTCTTCCCTGCCTGACCATTATACCGTGTTTCCAACGAAAGAATCAGGCTAACAAATTTTGGCTCAGATACATGAGTCATTGCCTGGTCAATTGCTTGAGCAGTCGATCTGGACATCCTATCATTGCTATTACGGTATGCCTCTTGTGCTGTCCATAATGGATAAGCCCAAGGGGGTGGTTTTTGCAAGAAAGCATCTCCATTTGCCAAAGGAATTCCACCTTGAGAAAGCTTTTGAGAGCTGGATGTCTCCTTAAAATTACTATAACAAAAAATATGCAGAAAGAGGAATATATCAAACAAGTGCTCTCATTTTTACAAACTACTCTTCACAATTCCAAGGAGTACTATCCAAATAATACCTTGGCATTTCACATTTCAAAACTTCAATGCAGATCATGTAAGGTGCCTTTTCCCTAGAATTCAAGAGAATAGCTTCATCTACTGGCATATGAAGCACGCGATACATGCCTTTTCCCAGTGGAAAACAGACTCCTACAAATATATGACTAGAAGGATTCATATAGCAGCAAGATATATCTGCTTATCATAATAAATGGAAAAGTGGTAACTAGTTCTGCAGACATAAAAAAAAGGAATATATTTTTACAGTAAGGAACTAAGATCTGCCAATAGTTGCAATTACACTAAAAAACTTCTCTACAGATCCGTATAGAAATGGACTGCCACGAAAAATCAAACCAGTTTCAAACATAACTAGAGAAGTGAAAAACTACATCATTTTTTCTGCATAAAAAGTTCTGCTTGAAAACAAGTAATTATTTTGACATACCTCCAAAAGAAGACAAAAATACACATATATCGGAATTTGGAAATTACACCATTTTTCAAGGGGGTAAAAAGTTGCTGCTTAACAGGTTATTTGTTGTATTATACATCAAAAAGGAATGGGAAACTATACATAAAAGGACTCTGAATCTAAACCAAGAAATGTGGCATTACTGCTACTGAAAAATTCCAGATCACACTTTTACAACACAAAAAATTAACCAGCTCATTTGAAACGTACAGAGAAGTAGGAAGTTCATTGCCCAAATTAAACATTATTCACATAATATGAGTACAAGTCAAGACATACCTCCAGTGTTCTGAACCTTTGCTACATGTACATTGATCTCTCTAAGCGACTAGAAATATAAGAATAACAAACGTGTCAGAAACACAAATATGGAGTAAAAAAGATTTTTGTTGATAACTTAAGTCAATTTTATACAGAAAGCATCAAAAAAAGAAAAATTCAAGAGAATAACCTCATGAAGAGCACTCTTGCGATCTTCAATTGGAAAAACATCCACTAACCCATATGATGTGTCGCATAGTGACTGCACAAACTCCAACGAGTCATGGTAAGCCCCTCTCCGGAACTGAGATGGATTAATTGGTAATGGGGGCTTTGTGCTCGATTTTTCACTTTGTAGCATTGGGGACCCAGGATGCTTCTGCGAAAGTAATTAAATACCCCCATATGAGGCAGAAAAACCGAATATATCGTAAATGCACTTAATTTAATATTAAAAACTATAAAACATAAGGCAGAAAGTGAAAATAAACTAGAGTTCTGAAATATATTAATGCTTGCAGTATTCCTCTCTGAAGTCAGACCTACAACTAGAATAAGAAACATCACAAATATGAACTATTTCCAATGCCATGTAATTATGCATGCAATAAAACATACATTTACCATAATACAGTCATTTATTTAAATTGATTTCTTAAGAAATGTACCACATATTTGTGAATTAACTCTCGAAGAGATATTTAATAAAAGATTAGCTTAAATTATTTAGGTGAAAGCACGGGAATGGCTTCACTAAATCTTCCACACCGACCCCAACACAAAAGTCCTTAATTGACAAGACCCATTTTAACAATGAGCTGCAACTTAACTTATTTAAAATAACAGGGCAACAAGGATTGAACTCCTAAATACTTGATCATTAAGGCTTTAATACCATGCTAAGACCGACTCTCCTAAAAACTAGTTATTTAGGTTGAAGTTCATGAATGGATTTATAAAATCTCTGACGAAAAACATTATCATTTCATAAAAAGTACAACAATTGAATCAATATGGACATGTAAAAGACATTCCTAACGCTAGAGAATATATATATCAATTCAATAAGACTAAAATGGCAATCTAAGAGTTCTTATTTGATAAGAATGACGGCCAGGGATGATTGTTGTGTTAAGTAATTAGCCATGGGGAAAAAAAAGTTGGTTTTAATGTTAGTTAAGAACAGAAAGGGACAAGCTCTTTGGCTCTGTTGATAACATCCTGTTGCAAATAAGACCAAATTAAGTTATAATACAATACCATCTTCATTGCATGTCTAGGAACTCAAGCATTCTAATGTTTAATGTGGAGTTTAAAGAAAGACTATGACTTACAACTCTTAGGTTTCAGGTCTAACTTAACCTTACATGATTGGCTTGTAAGGTGAGGATTGTTGAAATCCTACAAGCACTATATAGACCATGTCTCTTGTCGATGTGGGACTCTCAACACGTCCCTCCACGCCAAAGACTGGACATCATGAGCATGGGTTCTCAATACACACCCTCATGCACGACACTGGATCAAACATCTGAAGCATGGACAAATGCAGATGGACTAACACAAGTCTTGGCCCAGTAACAGATCCGGGATAGTATTAGTAAAATATGCTTTGATAGTATATCAGGCTTTAAATAAAATTCAAATCCACAAAATGAGCATGAAAGGCGAGGATTACCCAAGCTTACAAGTGCCACCTAGGCCATATATCTAGTCAACATAGGACTTAATACAAATAATAAAGAGCAAAATATAAAAAAAAGTCTTATCAATCTTGGCAAAATTTTTAAATAAAAAAATACAGGGACCCAAATTATTTATTACGAGTTAACTTTAAAAAATGAAGAAACAATTTGGAATTTTTTTAGTTGGAGGTAGGGAAGAATGGGTGCATGTAGTCAATCCCATGGCTGTTATAAGAACAAAAGCAATGTCAATGGATACTGTAAAACATACTTGCTATCTGAAAAAGCATAGAGAGACATTAAGCAACTTTTACGATTAAGAAAGAAAATAACAAAGTCTCTGCATATATTGGTCCCATTCATACTTTGCGGTTTACAATCCAAATTCCACCATAGAAGTAAACCAAATCATTAGCATTTATTCAGCATACCTCTTTCTGTCTCTTTGATCCCAATAGCTCTGAATCTTCAATTGAACGATCACGGTCTTTGAACAATTTGCGGAAAAAATTCTCTGTACCTGGACTACTTTGAGATAAGCCCCCATTGTTGCTATTTTCATTGGCTGGACTGCTTTTGTCATCTTCAGGATGCACACGGAATAACCTTTTGAACAAGGAAAGCTCAGAAGGCTCGTCTTCCTCACCATTGGCAGTTCCTTCTTCAACTTTATCTTTTGTGTCTTTCTTGTCCTCAAATTTATCCTTGAAGAATTTCCGGAAAAACCCATCTTTTTCATCCTCTTCTTCGGGTTTTGGACATTTCTCTTCAGAAATAGCAACATTTTTACTGTCATTTCTATCACGCACATCCTTCCTATCTTCAAATTTCTCCCGGAAAAACTTACGGAAAAGTCCATCTTTCTCTTCGTCTTCCACTGATTTTGCATCTGTTCTGTCCTCAGAATCATTTTTATTGTCCCGAAACAACTTCTTAAAAAATCCTTCTGAACTTGAGGTCACATCTTCGTCTTCGCTTCTGCTGTCCCTTAAGATCCTTTGAAAGAAACCATCCTTTTCAGATTCTTCATCATCACCTCTAGTACTGTCCCTACTGTCTCTTAAGAACCTTTTAAAGAAACTGTCCTTTTCGGAGTCTAAGGCATCTTTCTCGGACGACTTCCGAAAATGAAATGCATCACGAATTTTTTGGCCAAGCTCATCATCACCTTTGCTATCTCTTAAAAGCCTTTTGAAAAACCCATCCTTTTCAGAATCACCATCATCTTTGTCGGCTGACTTTCTAAAAAGCAAAGCATCTCTAAACTTTGGACTTGGCATAAACTTCTTAAATATCCTGTTCTCCTCAGGAGACAGCAGATTACCATCCTCTTGCAAATTATTTGCCGGTGAAGATGAAAATGACAAAGACTTGGGCGGTGAGGTTGTTAATGACAACAAACGATTTTTAGACGAAAGTAACCTATTCAAAACTTGGCTTTTACCTCCAGGACTCGGAGGTTCAGTCTGAGGTCGTATCAGAGGCGGCCACTCACCCATCAAGGTGGCTGCAGTCTGACACTTCTCCTGAATATTACTAATCCCATCATTATCATCATTGTCCTCCAACTCTGCCATTAAGAACCAATGCACCTTCAAAGCAATCTTAAGCGACTTTGAGCACATATCTATCACAAACTTATCCAACGATGGACTAGGCTTGTGTATCATCATGTAACATATTTGAAACAAATAACTCTCAAGCCCTTGCAAGGGAAGAGTATACATTCTATTACAAAGATAATCACGCACTCCAGCATGATCATGCTTGTACAAATAGCTAACCGCAATCCATTCACAGAAAAATGAAGAATCAAAGAATCTAATAAGCCATCCATTTTCACTAGAGTCACTGGTCAGGTTTGACTTTGACTCAATCTCCCGGGGTTCATCTGCATAACCACGAGCAAACCCTAAAAGCCTCACCATCCTCAATCTACTATCATCAAAGCAAGACCCTAATTTCAGTTGGATCAAATTCAAAACAACTAAACCATGCTAATTCAACCTTTCCCATATAAACCTTATAAAAACCCTGCCGAAAACCCTAATCCTAACACAAATCGAAATTACTTCTATAAAGAATCGTCTGATTTAGGCGTCAACAAGCTACAGAAAAACCCGAGCACCGAGATGTAAGCAGAAACCCTTGCACCAGCGAATAAAAAACAGCAGCAATTCACTCTGTTAATCACCGATTGACTGTAAACTAAAGCAACAGGTGAAACAATTGAAGAATTTCACCCGAAATCGCAACGCGAATTTGAATTGGAGGAAACGACGGTACCAAAATTGAGCGAGCGCGATGAAGATGAAAACGTGATTCTTCAAAGAGTAGGAATAAATCGATTTCCGCGGTGGATCTTAATAGCTTGTTGAAACGACGGTGGGTTTGAGGAGGTGATTGCGGCGGTAACGGTGGTGGTTGTTGTTACTTTTTTCAGAGTGAGGAAGACGACAGAGGTGAGGTTCGAGTTCATTAAATTAAAAATGAAAATTGAAAAATAATACAGTACCAATAATAAAATTGAATAGTAGTATGTTTTTTGGTGAAAGTAAATTTGAATATATTGAACCAACCAAAAAATGAATGTTTACGGTTTTTTTATTTTATTTTAAATGCTTTTAATAAGTTCTAACATGCGCATAACTGTAAGTTGAGCACACCGAAGTGCGTGAGAGTTGAAATACGAATATATTTTTTAAAAATAAAGAGGCCAACTGAGCATAAACAACTTTGAAATGAACCATCCCTAAAGAAGGGGTTACTCATTCATCCCAACTCATAGGTTGTTCTTCCACCTATGCAAAAGTTTTAAAATGTCCATGAATTTTAGATAGGCATATCCACGTATTTTTTATAAACAGATTTTAGTAAGTAAATTGTTTTTATTTTGCTCTAAAAAAAATTGTTGGAAAATACATATCTTAAATTTAAAAGTATATTTTCTTAAAAATATTGACATCTTATTTTTTTATTACTTTAACCACTTTTTAGATTTGATTATTTATCTGTTTGTTTTTATTGATGACATTCCCAGACTAGTATTGCCGTAATTTTTTACAATATTATGTTTAATTTAAGTTTTTAAAAAACATTAGATATAGTAAGAAATTTGTGATTAAAAAAATATTTAAAAACCTAAAAATACAATAAAGTACTAATGCAATACTAACACCACTTTGATTTGATAAACTAACTTATCTATATCACCTAACATAAATAATAAGTTAATTTTATCAATTATATTAAACGAAAATTAATATCGATTTTGAAATTAAATTTGAAGTAATATAAAGAAAATTAATTCACAATGCATTTATATGCTTAGTGGCTAATTAAGTTTTAACTATTATATCATTAAATCAATAAGGATTTCATGATAACTCATATGAAAGAAATATGAATTACGTAAATGGGAGGGGTTGCCTTCATTATAGAGAGGGAGAAAACTATGTTAATGGAGTTGTTAAAGTTGCGTTGCTAGCAGTGAAGCGCGGATCTTTCTAGAGATGCATCTTCAAACATAGTTTTTAGCAAAATGAAGGTGTCTCAATTGCAATGCTTTTGTTTGTGTGATTTTAGATGTGTCTGAAGATGCATCTCTAGACACAGCAAGGGCATTCTCGAGTTTTTAGATGTGTGTGACGCACCCTATAGAGTGGAATGAGTAGATATTAGAGTTTGACTTAACTCATCTTTACAAAATCGGCTTGTAAGGTGAAGAGTGTCACTCTATATAAACTTTTTAATGCTCTATCTTCAACCAATGTGTGACTTGAGATTTGTTGAGAACCTTTATAGAAATTGAAACTAAAAACAAGAACTAGACAATTGGACAGAATGACTCAGTTTTATTAACTACAACATTGGCTTAACTAGTCATTGAATACACGATGGAAAACAATAGCTGAAAGCAATCAATTATGCTAAAATAAAGGTTGATAATGCTAAGTGGTTACTAACATCGATGGTTGTTTTTCTAAAATCCATGGACAACAAAATATGAAAGGATGTAGTAAAAGGCTGGAAACACCCTATGAATGTCTTTCAAGATGATACGTAAAGTTTAAATTCAAAAGCTGAGTTGGCTGATTCAGAAGATAATGAAGCTATTGGAAACTCCAAGGTTTTAAATGTTATTTTCAATGGTGTTGACACAAGCTAAAAACTTCCTTTTCTCAAACACACAAGTTTGAGACTTCCTTGCTTAAACACACAAGCTTAAGACTTCAAATGCTTAAGCACTAAAGCAAGAGACTTCTAACTCTAAATAAACTATTAAGAGATTTGGGTAACAACTACATTTGATATTCAATCAGAGGTGTAAATACAATACAACTTGGAAAGACTCTAAGACTTAAGAACTTCTAAAATATACTCAAAGTAAAAATGTTATAAGTCTAACAATATTGACATAGTAGCTTCTCTTTGATTGTCAAGTTTTAAAGTCTGTAATTGAGTTGTATTAGCGCATGAGTAATTTTCTTCTTCAGCCTTTTAGCTCCATAACTAGAGAGAGAAAAGATATGTTGAAGACTTTCACCAAATAGGTTGTGCTGGCTTTGTACTTAATTAGACACATCAACAAAACACCTTTCTGCAAGAGAAATTATCCGTTGAAGCTCAAGCACCAAGGAATAGACTTTTCTTAAGTCTTCACGTGATATAAAAGTCTTTGAGTTGTCAGATTTGCCTTGGTATAAGAGTTTATGCTTCAGAGGATGACTTTCCTTCATATTTCACTCTTAGAGGCTAATCACATCAGAGTCTACTTCTTAGCTTCTGAAGCTTCAAAGTCTGGATCACCAAAGGCTGACTTTCTTTAGAGTCTGGATATCCATCAAAGATAGAGTCTTCAGAAGTGATTTTCAGAGTCAGGGTCTGAACTTCAGATGCAGATTCCTCAAGCAATTCTTCATCTGTTCTTTAAAGATATAATCTTGCATACTTGAACAAATGTTAGATAGCCCAATTGTTCTTTGAATATTTTATTATCATTAAAACCCAAGGGATATGGTATTTACCAATTATGTTTCAACAATTTCCCCTTTTTTATTATGACAAGCAATAGTATTTAAGAATGATGGTTGTTGATTTAATTAACATTCTGAATTTAGGGTCTGAGATTTGTAAGTTCCCCCTGAGTCTGATAATCCTAAAGGTGGGGTTTGTATGCTCCCCCTAAGTCAGATAGTTCTGATTGTGAGGTTTGTAAGCTCCCCCTAAGTCCTAGCCAGGTTAATTAAATTTCTCCTTGAATCATAATGATCAATTCTTCATAAATTAAGCACAAAACAAAATCAATTAATTAGATTTAGATGCTTAAATACTTATATTCTTTCTCCTCCTTTTGTTATCAACAAAAAGATAAGGCGGAAGAAGGAAAACATACTGAAGAAGAAAATGTGTGGAAAATTAAATTATGATAAAAATAAATAAAAACAACTTTTGTAATCCCCCAAAAATTGAAATGCAGTTTTCAAGAGATAGAAAAATGGCTAGATTGGTTGAGAATATTTATTCACTTCTCGAGACAGTCAGAAAAAATCCTTTCAGCTTCCAAGTATTGGAAACAACATAAGTGATAATTGGAATTAAGAGCTAGTAAATTGAGACTAACATGCATTAACGATCATAGGTAATTAAACTACCATAAGCAACATATATGACACTCAAGATCCTCTATAAAAGCACGAACCCATAGGCTAAGACCACATATATTGATCAAACTTTCTCTTCTTTAAGATGAGCATACTAACTGAAAATAACATAATCAACGTCTCTTTAGTGACCACTACGGTTAATGAGATCAAAACCTTAAAGGAACATAATATTCAGAGACATGAAGGAATCTAACCCTCTTAATCAAGCATTTCTATTGATGCACTCAAGCCAAGAAGGACTTTAGTTTTAAGGAATAAGCTCAAGAAGAAAAATAAGAGGGTTCCAGCAAAAATAGTCTACTTTGATTCTGATGCAGAAGATTAGCATGATGTGGACTGGGAGACCTCATTTATGGCTCGAGGCTGGAGTGATGCTTTACCTTCTTGAACTTGCTGGTTTCCTTCTAAGGTAGCACATAAGGATTTTAAAATGGTTTGAGCAGTGGATTTATCAATTATTTTGATATACTCAGAATTAGCTAGAGCATCAACCAAGATGCCTCTAACTCTATAATGTTTTTTGTATATCTTTTTCTGCTTAGGTGTAAGAGATTTTCTATTAGATACCACTCCAACACCATTAACTTGGATATTAATGTCATCTTCCAAAATGTCCCATAACTCATCATCAAGACCTATGATATGAGTATACATTTTTATTTTCCACCATTCAAACTCAGTGGAATCTCCACTAATGAAAGGAAATCTAGTTGTATAACTATTTTTCTCAGAAACAGTGTAATCATGATTAACCCTACCAAAAGGATTAGTGGGACCCCTACTTGAACCATTTCCAGATTCATCAGCCATAAAAGAATGTGTATTTTTCTTCAGATCTTTTATGCACCATTGTTAAGTGTTGATCACAAATCGTTCTCTGATACCAACTTAGGGCAGAAAAATACAAGAAGGGAGGTTGAATTGTGTATGAGTTTTTAAGCTTTTTCAATTTATGCTTCTGATTGATCTTAGTTAAAGTCTGAACCTTCAATTTAGTGTCTAAACCAGAATCACTCAGAGTCTGAACTCTTGAATATTTTTATCAAATTCTGCAACAGAATATGAATCAGAAAGTAAATAATAGATAGCAGTGAAATAATGTTTAGAAGTAAGTAAAGTAAAAGCACAAGACAAAAACAATTATCATAGTTCTTCTCCCAACCTGAAAGTAGTCCAGTCGCCTTGCTCTTCAAGGGATTTCAACTATAATTAAAGCTCAGGCACCAAGGAATATATTTTCCTTAAGTTATCACGTGATCAAA